GTGCCTGTGCCTGTGCCTGTGCCTGTGCCTGTGCCTGTGCCTGTGCCTGTGCCTGTGCCTGTGCCTGTGCCTGTGCCTGTGCCTGTGCCTGTGCCTGTGGGCTTGGGTAATGTTTAAGACTTGGAAAGGTTTTGAGCTTTTGGGCAAACAAAGTGTGGGACTTTGGAGAGGTTTCGGGACTTGGAAAAAGTTTGGGGTTTGGCGAAAAGTTTGGGCTTTGGGAAGTGTTTGAGCCTTTGAAAAAAGTTTCGGCCTTTGGGAAAAGTTTGGGCTTTTGGAAAAAGTTTGGGGCTTTGAAAAAGTTTGGGCTTTGGCAAAAAGTTTGGGGTTTTGGAAAAGTTTGGGCTTTGGCAAAAAGTTTGGAGTTTTTACAAAAGTTTGAGGTTTTGCAAAAGTTTGAGGCTTTGCAAAATTTTGGGCTTTGGCAAAAAGTTTGGGATTTTGCAAAAGTTTGGGCCTTTGCATAAAATTTGGCCTTTGGCAAAAAGTTTGGCCTTTGGCGAGTGAGTTGAGAATCGTCCCAGTCTCAGACCTTATTATAAGTACTCAAGTGCACTAGTGCATGGATGATTATGCGCAAATGACGGCTCGACCAGACAACACGTTAGAGTCATTCTCTGTGTACGGACAAAACTACTGTTCCTAGGTATCAAAGAAAACACGAAGTTTGGATGCGTTGCTCTCTTATAACTGCTCTTCTGCAGAGCATTTGTGCGAAAAAACGAAAGCCTATGGACGAAGAGTCACAATTTTTAAGCTCTTCTAATTCTATCGACCGGCAGGTGTTAGGAGACAAAGTCGTTGCATCACTATGGGATAGACGAAGTTCATATTAGAGCTAAACAAGCTTAGCCTTCAATAGAAAGCAGCAAAACAAGATTTTGGCTTTGAAAATGGTGAAACCAAAGCGGCACGCAAATGGAGGCAACTTATCAGAGAAGTGATGTAGACTTTGCATGCACGCGAAAACGACGACGTTATGACCAAGATCGCTCACGATATTTGACTGGTGCATATGTAGTATTTGATTGTTCCCTTGTAAGAAAGCGGACGTGGAGGAGAACACCAAAAAATCATGTACAACTGGGGAACAGGTTTTACTTATTATTCCTTGTAAGAAAGCTGATGATCGATCGACTGCGATGTTGAATATGAAGAGCAAGAGATGATGTCCACCTCTGCCGCGACGAACGACATACGGATTAGGAGGCGTGATTTGACACCTGTGTGAGTCGCTGGAATTATATGCGGGTTTCTCCGGCGATAGCTAACTTCGGACGTTTCCGGCGACAACCGACGGGTCGTTTGCAGTTTGTTCTGGGTAAATTCTGGAACTCTCCCCAGATCAGCCCTATCAACACGAGGAGCTTGCGTGTCGCATTACGGTGCTCCGAGCACCAGTTCTTGTTTCAGCGCAGATGTTTCCCGACACCGTTCCTGTCTGCCAGGGAACTTCTCGGCTTGGATGATAGGGAGCACGACGTACCCTATCCAGGAGAGGAATATCGCTACAAGAACGAACGATGCATCGTACTCGAAGAGACGATCTTGTGGCTCATAGACATGGTCGAGAAAGAGGCACCTGGCATTTTCGAATTCAAACGGCTCCCGAGATACGCTCGTTGCACATTGTTGTTCCGGCGTCGGCAGTCACCCGCGCAGTTACCTGTCACCGCTGACGAAATTGCGGGACACACGCTGCTGCCGAAAAACCGCGAGCAGGCGTTTGAAACGGCACGTCTGGAGCACTTCAACCTTCAAGCCGGTGCCAGGAATCGACGAGATACGGATCACGAGACACGCATGGAAGACAAACTGTGGTCAGCCCTGGTGGTAAAGAGTGCCCGGAAACGCCAGTGTCGCGGAGGACAGTTTCTTTTTCACTTTCGTACGAACGATCCCGATGTTGGCATGGTTCTTGCGTGCCAGCCCGAAGACAAGCTTCTGGTCTGTGCACCGCGTGAGGTACGCGTGCGGTCTCCACGCAACGCCCCATCCACCAGGTGCTGGGTTTTTTGTCAAGACCTTCCTCTGGTTGACTCGGTCGATTCAAAACAGAGTGCGACGGAATCTCTCGCGGGAGCCCTTGAACGCGTGAGGCAGGAGTTGAAGCGTCGCAGCTTCGAAAGCTGGCGTGAAGCCGTCGTCTCTGAAGGCAGGTACCGAGCTCATTACTATCGTCTGCAAGCACTCGCGCATCTGGTTTTTTATATCAGTTGCAATCATCTCTTCCTCCGAACCAGCCAGCAGCCACAAACTCCGAGGTAACTCCACCATCTCAACAGTGTGACCTTGCTGACTACTTGCTGTGACCTTGCTGACTACGTCATTCCTATCATGATGTTTACAAGTCAGCTGCAATGTTGCCATGTGTGGAAGCTGGAGAGCTCATTACTATCGCCTGCAAGCACTCGCGCATCTGGTTTATAAGTCAGCTGCAAGGCCATGTGTGGAAGCTGGAGAGTTCGGGGCCCTCCATAACCTACTAGTAGCCGATCTGCGCTGTATTCATCGTTCGGCTCGCATTCTGCCCGGTGCTTGTCGCAGTACGAAAGTCAATTTGAAGCGGACTTTGGTTTCAAAAAATGGTGGTCGGATTGAGGTTCCTTATGACGTCACGGACGGGTTTGATTGTTTCGTGGCAATGGTCTACGATACTATGGATCCGACGCAATTCCAGGGCGCTTTTTTTCTGTCAAAAGGCTTTCTGCTGAAGTCTGGCTGTGTCTCAGTAGCAAGAGTAGGTGGACGCTGTTCCATCACGTTACGCGTGCCATTATGTGGCACCTCGTGTGTCCAAGGAAAAGTGACACGAAACAGCAATCGACGAACATCTGCATGTGCTGACGACTACTACATGGACTTGCGTCCGGAATTCATCAACAAAGAAGATATTGTGAGAAGTATTAGCGCACTGCTGAATACCGTGAGGATAGAAAATTCGAAGCTCGATTTAGAGGAAGAATCCTTTCAAGTGCATGCACAGATCGGTGTCCTGTGTCCTGCTTCTGCGAAAAGGAGGGCATAATTTCTAATGCCTCGTCCAATGATTTTTTTCGCGTGTGCCGACCTTGTTTTCGTTGCGAATTTATCCGTGCGCGTCTGTGGTTTTCTGTGTGACCCTGATCGAAAGGACAAAAAGATTGAAGAAATGGCAGGAACGCACACATGAAGATCAGCTCAGTAGTTCAGTCTGATTTATTCTTATGATCTCTTCTGTTCATCTTCAGTTAGAAATTGCGTAATCGCTTTGTAGCCTCTAGAAATAGAAAATGGTTTGGTAGTTCAGTACGGTGATCTGATTGGGCGCACTACCGCGTGGCGACTCACAGCGGTCCTTCATCATAAGACACTGAACTGAGATCCAGCCTATTCGTGCCACAGTCTAAGATCTAACTTATAGGGTAAGGAACGGTAGTGCAATAGGCCTCTTAATATTGAGGCTTCTATAGCTTAACCCTTTTCAGGATCGTGAGCAGGTTTGACCTCTGCGCCCTCCCCTGTCCTCAGTCACGCGTCGTTTTTTCTATGGCAAAAAAGTTCTTGTCAAGCAATCACCTTTCTATGGCATGAACGCGTGACAGAGTTCGGCTGATCAGCCTTAGCCTATGATCCTTAAAAAATTAAATTATGTAAGGTCACAAAATTGACCCACGGGTGACTAATATTCTCCACCCCGAAAGGATCAGGTTAGGTGTGATTCTAATAGTTGGTAGGTCGCTAAAAACTTAAGGCACTTGCGTTTTACGACCTAAATAAATGAGGTCGGTATGGATTTGTTATTGCTTTCGCTTTGCTCCTTTCTAGTATCTGTGTTCTGTGGTGTTGATGAAGATCTTTATGAAGGCTGGATCGGTTTGGTCATAACGGTCCTTCATCATAAGACACTGAACTGAGATCCAGCCTATTCGTGCCACAGTCTAAGATCTAATTTATAGGGTAAGGAACGGTAGCGCAATAGGCCTCTTAATATTGAGGTTTGTTTTATATTAGTTTTTTCACCCCACCGCCATCCCCAAAAATGTGGTGTGACCTTTTCGACGAGAGTGACGAAGTTGCTGCTGAAATGGCGCAACAACTTCAGCCGATTTTTACAAAAACGGAAATAGCGACGGCCACACCCTCCACCAGTAATAGCTCAGCCTTAAAAGTAGTGCAGTCGATGGAATCGAAAGTGGATAGCAGGATACTCGAAGAAGTGCTAGACTATAATTCGAACTTATTGGCCGGGAATTCTTTAGCTACTACTACGCACCTTATAGCAGCAGCTTCATCTTCTTCATACGAGACCAATCCACTGCAGCACAGTACGTTAACGAATCGGGTACCCTTCAACCCCTCAGACGACGTCTCAGACCTAGTGTCAGACCCCCTAGGAATGCAATTTGGCATCCTAAACTTACACGCGGACTTTCCAGTGATGGGCATGCCAGAAACCACGCCAGAAACGCATGCGCCTGCTGAAAAGCGAAGGCGTTTTGATAGGAGTCTTGACGGAAGTAAAGAAATAGGTAAGGAGTCTAGACGCCCGTTACTCCCGTCGTGGTCTTGGGACAAAGTAGTGACGTTTTTAGCGGAAGAAGTTAAAAAATCTCCTCCGCTTCTGCACGAACATCGCCCCGCGAACCCAATTCTTCACACTAAGGCGATGGCAGAACAAGTAATCAATGCGCATGGTATTGTCCCGACCTTCAACCAGATGCGCTGGAATAAGAACACACTGAAGAGCTACCAGAAACAATATGGGAAATATGTGGAGCTGATGATAGCGTGCGGACTCTCACCATCACCGGAAGAAGCATCAGCTTACCGCATGCGTTTGCTAGCGCGCGCCTTGGCAATCTGCGACGAAGCTACTCAGTCAAGATCGACGTACTACTCTTATATAAAGAACTGCATCACCTCGAAGTCCATCCTTACACCAGACGCGGAAGCAGCCTACAAACAAGGCCTTGGCGTCCTTATCAACATGCGACGACTACCGAGCCAGGAAAGAGGCATACGCCTCTCTCATCTACTTGTCGCTGCCGCAGTTATAGAGCAACGCCCTGCTGTGACGGTCGGCCCACCAGCTGACCCACTTCCATTCTTCCAATTTGTCTCATACATCATCACCGCCTGGTTCTTGTTCTTAAGGCCAGACGATCAGAGACACTCCATTTTCTGCCCTTCAGGAGACGGGAAGTGGGCTCGCTTTCGTATCACCTCGTCTAAACGAGATCAAGAAGGACAGGCTTGGGAGGCCGATTTATGCTGTTCTTGTTCTTGGGCCCCGCAGACGCCTCTGGGGAAGATTTTGTTCTGTCCAGTTCATGCGCTTCCGCCACAATTGTGGGACAAATTTAAAAACTGGCCTAGTAGTGCAGTACAAGACGGCCTGCGCCAACTTTTGGAATGCGCGGGACTACCAGCGCTAGAATCTACACGAAAAGAAAACGGTAGGTTCGTGTGGAACTCCTACTCGGTACGAATTGGCGGCGCCTGTAGTGCTCGAGAAGGTGGCCTGTCACTAGATGAATGCACTAAAATCGGCAGATGGAAGCAGTCTTCCACAGCATTTCACTACGCCTCGCAGTGCTACCTTAAAAGCGATAGCGCGGCTATGAAGTGGCCAATCAAGCGCCCCCATGTTTTTCAATAATCAACTCTTTACCAAAAGCATCATGCAAAAAAGCCTCCACTCAAACAGGGAGAAAAAAGCCAACCTTCCAAATTATCTCAAATTGGGCTACTACGCCTCGACATCAAATCCAACTTTCTTGGATTTTGTGTGCCCCCGCATAAACAACAGCAATCGAGTCCACTTATAGTGAAGGCTTTTTACCTTTGCTTTGTCTCAATACGCAACAGATTTAGCAATTCTGTTTTGTATTAGAAAAAATCACAACAGCAACTGCAAAAATGCCAAAACGTGACGAGGTCTGTTTGTACTACGAGCGAGTTAAAATCTGTTCGCGCTACGAGCTAGAGAAAATTGATATTGTAAGCTGTTGGTAATGAAGTACCGCCATCAACGAGCAGAGGCATGTATGCGATCATCTCTGTCCTGAGGAAAGTGCAGCTCTGTCCAAGCACAACATGAAACACCCCTAAGCATCTAGCGGCCTTGGAGCGAGAGTTGAAGATGAGTCTTCCTTTCACTTTAGCCGCTTACGCCCTTTCTTCCTTTCAAATCAGGATTCGCATTTATTGCAAATTGCATGTGCATGCACCAAGTTTAACTCCCGTAGCAACTTTCGGATAGCGCTGCTCCAAAGTCCAACAGTAAACTTCTTGAGTAAGTCGCAAGTCGTCTACTATTAATATTTCTAGGCTGTTCCTGCAGTCGCTATTTTATACTTCTTCAAATGCAAGTCCATCAGGTCGCCTTTGGTAATAACCGTTAGCCAACAGCTCGCTCACTTATTCAACCTTCGAGTTGAGTTATTTCCCTACTAAAAATCCACATAGTCAATATGGCAGAAGCACAGCTAGCATTGCAGGCGGAGCAAATTGCGCGCCTCACAGCCCAACTGGCCGCCGCCAACACCTCCATCCAGCAAATCGCAGGTGACGCGCACGTGGCCCAGTTCCAGCGCCAAGCAGCCGAGGAAGCGGGGCTGGGCATCCCGACTGCAGCGCAAAAAACTCAGCTACAGGCCGCCACCCGCACCCTCGACTATGGATGCACAGCCAAAGAGTTTTTGTTCACACTGCGCTGCTTCGACAACGAACGCATGGAGGACGTAACTAGCCCGCCAGCTGGCCTGATTTGGGACCCGCTGTCGTTTGTCGCTGTTGTCTGTGCTGTCGGCCTGGTCACCGATGACCAAGCCCGCACCATCCAGAAAATGGTGGTTAAAGAGCTTGCTGGACCCTTGAAACCGCGCAGAGGTGCCTCTACGACGCTTCTGACGCGAGCGGACATCTTTAAGGTATTTTTCGACACCGTGGACTTGGTCGTTAAGCGCGAAAATAGACCTACAGTCACCGCCGGCGACAACCAACAGCAGCGCAGCTTCAGCCGAGCTTTTACGGTGAATCTGCCAGTGTTCTGGCAAAATAAACTGGAAGCCAAAAAAGCCCTGACCTTCGAGTTAGCAGAGCTCAAACGCTTTCAGAAACAAGAAATGGATCAAGCTATTAAGTCGATGCGAGCCGAAATGCTTAAACGTCCAGCCCCCGGCCACCTAAACCACGGGGACCCTCCGCTGAAGCGCCCGACTACCGAGCGACCGACTCCCAATGGGGGCGGAGGGTCTGGATCCAAGCCGCAGGACGTCTGTCTTCAATGGATGAAAGGGAGCTGCTCTTCGTCGTCGTGCAAGAACGCTCACGCTGGAGATTTGTCGAAGCTTTCATTCCTCAACAACCGCTTTCGCCTTGGCTTACAGGAAGCGCAAATCGTACAGCTTGCACAGATCAAGAATAGGGCCCCACCGCCAAAGTAAGCGGAGAAGAAAAAAGGAGAGAAACTTTTAATTAAGCTCCTTTACTGGAGCGCTGTATGTGTTTGACCACCTTAAGACAGACTACTTGGTAGAAGGACGAAAGGAAAGCTGTGCTCCCCAACGGGAGACCGCTGGACACTCAAACTTCTTCCATGTAGACTCTTTTTCAATGGCCGAGCGTCTACATCGTATGCACTTATAGACAGTAGCTTCGTCGTTTTCTTCAAGCAGCAACTCGTCTATCACATCTCTGCGAGTCACTTTGTGGAAGAGTATTCAAGTCCACTCGCTCCGCGTAGCATAAACATTAAATAACTTCTAACTCAGGTAAGAAAACTTAGCTTTTATTTCGTTGAAATAGTCGTGGCGTGGTGTATCCATCGCTATACTAATTCGATAAATAACTACTTGGCGGCTTTCTAGCATTCTTCGAACACAGGTCGTAGTCTTCTAAGTTGGCTACTACTTCTTTTATTTGTGTGTCTATATCCATTCATGAAATTATAACTGTACTATCATAGCTACTTAACTACACACCACATAGCTCACGTTGCGGCGCAATGTGCTGCAACCAAAAAACTTCTCGAGGGCGCCCGGGTGCATTAGTATCCCTGAGGTCCTCGATTCAAAAACCGAACGGCTCTTACTTGGTGCGTGTAGTATAGCCTCAAGAAAGCAAGAGGACTTTCTTGGGCTAGCGGAAGCGGAGATATACGACACAAGCAGAGCCATCCGATAGGCGCAGCATGTTCTACACGACGAGAACTAGACTGGAACTCACACGAGCGGACCTATTTAAACCGACTTAGCGGGTTGTTTCTGTCAAATTCGCTCTGGAAAATTGAGCGCTTTGAAAAAATCCTATTCCAAAGTCAAACAGGTACACTCGTCAAGGTTAAGCATAATTTAACTCATCACTTTCACTTTCCGCGTCATAGTCTTTATTTTCTCCTCATCCAAACCTCAGCCTACCCTACTGGTATTTTCCCGACCTCAGTTAGTCAACTTTGAGACCCGTTGTTTAATCGTTGCCATGAAATAAGTAGAAGCTGCGTTTATTGTAAGCAGCCGCTTCAGCCTTTTAGTGTTTTAAGGTAGGAGATTGCAACTAAGAAACTACAGCTCTTCACAGATTTCACTCTTTCACTCTCATCAAGAACGACCACCGGGATGAACTGGAACGCCATCCATTTACAGGAAGCTCGGCGTGAGTATGGTGCTCCGCCTTGCTACCCTTCGCATATGGATGGCATCATAGAGGAGGCTAAGCTGTCTACAGAGGCGGACCTTCTTCACAAAAACAGAAGGAATGGCCACATGCTACTGAATCTCGTCGAGTCACTACAAGAGGAAGAGGACAAACTACACGAAACGATGGCTCCACACCTTAAGCGATTATATGAGGGCAAGCGCTTTCTGCTTCTCAAGCGCTTGCTACATATGGCAGCAGATGCTCACCCCACCTTGGCAACAGTCAGAGGCCTCGTGGTCAACATTGTTAGCAAGCTCGTCTCAGGTTTTCCCACTATCGGCAATATTGAACCGACAGGCTTTTGGACAGCCTTGACCGCTGACAAGATCCAAGCACAGCTACAACGAGAACAAGAAGCATTATCGCGCAACAAGAAGCCTCCCACCAAGCACTGGGCCTCAGAACAAGACATTCTGGAAATGGATAAGCAGATGCAGGACATGGTTGCGTCAGGCAGATGGTTGCATATTTCGCAAGATGACCTGACTTCCGCCGGCGCGTCAATTGCTTTCCCAGTACATAAATACGACAAAATCAGACGTTGCATCGATTTCCGACATCAAAGCGACCTGATGACCACGTCGGAGCGCATGCGTCTGCATGGGAGTAGGGTGGCCATGCATGTCGCAACCCGATGCATTTCTGGCAAGCGTAAACCGCCACACCTCTTTCGTTTTAAGAATGATATCCAAGCAGAAATTACGCAGGAGCGCGATCTACTTAAAATTGTAGAAGAGAACGAGGCAGCTCGCGCGCAATCGGATAATGTCTTCGATGCTGATCCTTACGAAAACTGGCACGGTGATTCGTACAGTTTTATTCCAGTCTCTCAAAAGCGGGACCTGGAGCAGTTTTACTACCAGTGCGGAGTAAAAAACCCACTCGCTAACGCTATCTGGTTTCCAATACCATTCACGTCTACACCGTCAAGAAGAACAAAGCGCAAGTGGAACCTCGTGGCAAGTGCGTGCTCCCTTTTTGGTTCGCTATCGTCGGTCCACGACTGCGTTGCTGTCTCGGAGTCCCTAATGGCGGTGATCAACTTGGTTTTCTCCGTGCGTTCTGGTGACCTTTTATATAGACGACATCCACTCTTTTTCTCGGCAAGCATTAGCGGACTCGGATGGTGCAGTGATCGACCTGGTTCTCGACTTGCTCGGATGGGCGCAGTCGCTCTCCAAGCTCGAGCGCCATTCACTAACGCAAAAGACGTTAGTTGTCTTGGGTATCGCCTATACGATTGACTTGAGAGCCAAACTACTCACCATCAGCGTCGACGCCGACAAGATCCAAGAGACCATCCGACTAGGAGAAGAAATTCTAACCCAGATCACCGACCTCGAGCTTTCCCATAAGAAGCTGCTAAGCTTCCGCGGTCTCTTCAGACATTGCACCCAGCTAGACCGCTCCATCTCGGCTCTAGCTAAGCCCCTCGACGTTTGGGCAGATCTTCAGACATTCCGAAGAGACATACAAGTACGCGCACGCCGGAACTCGCTCTACCTCTGCATCCATCTCATGAACACTATGCTGCCGGAAGCTAGTGCCTTTATGCTCTCGCCTCAGCGTACTGATCGGCGGGTAGTGCACCTTTATACGGATGCTTCACTAGAAGCCGAGGACGGTATGAGAATCGGCGGCATGATTTTTTCTGGTTCTGCACCGAAGCCATACGTATTCTACTCGGAGGCCACGCAAGACGATCTGCCGCCTCGACTTCGCCAAATGTTCCACAGGATGCACATCGGAGTTGCTGAAGCGCTCGCAGTACGAGTAGCACTGCAAATTTTCAAGGACCTCGTCAAGAATTCGCTGGTTATCGTCCACGTCGACAATCTCGGCGTTGTTTTCTCATGCTCCAGAAACTCGGCTCGGTGCCTCCTCACGCAGCGGATTTGTTCTTCGATTCATTTGATCAATAAAATCTTCGATGTCGATACTTTTTTCACTTGGATAGCATCAGCTAGAAACTTAGCGGACCCACTCACAAGAATGAAGAAAGTCAAGTGCTTACTCCAAGAATTTAACTGTCGACATCACTCAACGCAAGAAGTAAAAGACATCACTTCCGACCCAACTACATGGAATTTCAACGACTAAGTATCCCAATAAAATTTTGTTTTATCCATGCTGTCCTAGCAGATAACTCTCGTTCATCTGTGAAATAAATTCCAAGTACCTAAAGTTCTTCGGCCTTACTCCTTCTCAGCCTTAGCCTATGATCCTTAAAAAATTAAATTATGTAAGGTCACAAAATTGACCCACGGGTGACTAATATTCTCCACCCCGAAAGGATCAGGTTAGGTGTGATTCTAATAGTTGGTAGGTCGCTAAAAACTTAAGGCACTTGCGTTTTACGACCTAAATAAATGAGGTCGGTATGGATTTGTTATTGCTTTCGCTTTGCTCCTTTCTAGTATCTGTGTTCTGTGGTGTTGATGAAGATCTTTATGAAGGCTGGATCGGTTTGGTCATAAAGTAGATGACTGGCTGAAGAAAACATTCACAACGTGTAGCGGAATCCGGAAGTAGATTATCATCAAACTCTCTGGTTTTCATCGTAGCTTCAATCTCTTAACATAGAAAAATGGTCACTGCAGTGGCTATCATAACGGTTCCTACAGGGACCGCCACAACAATGGCCACTTCTTCCACAGCTATCTTAACGGCTCCCGCACGGGCCGCCGCAACGAGCTGCCTATCACTTCGCCCGACGCGGCGCTCGGGCTTCGTTACCTATGAGGAGTTTAAAGCGCGGATCCAGCCTTTGGGCTTCAAGCGTTCTCTGGACTATGCGATGTGGTACAAAGCTGAAGGCGGCCGAGCGCTTGGATTTCCCGCTGCGCCGCATGTGATTAAGGCTGAAATGAACCTGCCTCCACGTGAATCAATCCCGTGAAATAAAGACTAGATGAGAGCAGGTAACCCGTGCCAGGAGAGTCTCGGGCTGTACTGAGGCAAGTACTGGCTTGAGTATTTTCACGGGATTGCTTCACAGGACATGCTTCTAGGGCTAGTTCTAATGTGACCTACCAACCGCAGTGGGAGTCGTACCCCTTGGCGCTAGGTTACACGCGAGGGCCGAATCAGGATAGGAGACACGATATCGCTTCGCCAGGTGAAGAGTACCACTACCAGAACAAGCGCTGCATGGCTTTGGAGGACACGACAACCTGGTTCGTGGAGATGATAGAGGAAGAGGCACCTGGCCGGTTTGAGTTCAAGAGGCTGCCGCGATACGCGAGGGGGACAGTGCTGTTTCGCTGTAAAGATGATCTCAAAACGACCTCTCTTGCCTTGGACCAGAAAACTGCTTTGAAAAGGACAGAAGTACATGATCACGAGCAAAAAGTGGCAAGTCCGAGCTTTTGTTCTTCTACGCTAGATCATATTGAAGCAAAGCCTGATCTTCCTGTTCAGCGCATGATCACGAAGATATCTCCTGTGGGAAAAGAGCCCGATCATGATCATGATCATGATTCCAAGTCGTGGTCTGACGATCATGACCATAGCAAGTCGTCGTGGTCGGCATTATTGATCAAAAGTGCGGCAAGCCGTCGATCAGAAAAGAGTGGCTTCAGCTTCAAGCTTTCATCCAAGGAGGATGATATTGGAGTAGTCCTAGCTTGCGAACCTGAAGGAAAACTCTTGATTTGTGCGCCCAGCGAAATCAAGTTTAGTGGGGATCAGTCGCTGTACGTGCGAACTGGTGCTTTGCCTTCTGTTGTTGAAGTCGGGGATAGCGGAGCATCTGCAACCACAGGGACTGTGTTGGAGAGTGGAGCAATTGCATCGGCATGCACTAGGCTGGACGATGTGGTGGGAGATAAGCCTGATGGAGATCAAGCACGCACTGAGCGGAATGTTGGAGAAAAAGGCATTGCGTCAGATCCAAAAAAGTCTACGACTGCAACATCCTGCAATGGCGTCACGACTGACAGCTCTGGACCTGGAGCTCCAGCTCTCAAACAGCCAAGGGAAGCACCTTTTCGTTCATCTTTCTCTGCGGCGAAGCAGCTTGAACGAGTCAGGAAATCGCTGCCGCGGAAAAGTTTTCACGACTGGTGCAAGACATTGCTTTCAGGCAATAGCCAACGTGGGCACTATTTCCGCATGCACGCGCTTACTCAGCTACTCTACGGTCCAGCTGGACTAGCGCTGACGGAAGCATTCGAATTTGGCAGTATTCATAACTTATGTTGAAAAGAATAAATATATAATCAACGGAGCATAATTTGAGTTGGGAAGTATTGGATACATGACTTATGAAATATGGCAAGACGACTTGTGGGTTGCTAGTCCGGACATCTTGATCTTCGGCTTCTCTTCTCTAAACAAAATGCTGGTTGAAAACTTGCGTTGTATTCACCGGTCCTGCCGACTGGACCCGAAAACTGGGGGCGCAAATTTCGTCCTGCAACGTCATCTCACATCCGCAACGACGGGTAAAATGATGGCCGTACCCTTCGACAGTACATATGAAAGATACTGGCTACTTTTCCATCCTCACGAAGACCATAATCATGATATTAAAACGATAAGTACTACTTTTTACCTAGTAGGTAGAAGCAATGAATATAGTTACCGCCCACGTGCCCCCGGCGTGTACACACGCCGGGGCAGGGCGGAAGGGTCTTGCAAATGCTACGAGTTACATAAAATCCATACGGCCTACCGGCGTGCTACGAATTACGTATAGAGTGGCGCGCTATGGAATAAGCAAAGCAGCTACGTGCTACAAGCTACTACGTGCTACATAAGCCCCCACCCTGGCAGCACCCGGAACGCCCTAAAAGAACTACTTCGAACGAATGAAGTAAACGCGTAACCAGATACATTTGCCGAGAGTCAAATCCTTAGGCAGATCACTCCGGGCCTGCTGTTTTCGGTTCTCAGCGTAGTGGCTGGGCGAAGAACTCCGGTTGACTCCGCTCAACGTGAGAGCCTCACGCGCTCCCTGGCCCGGGTTTTGGGCGTGGGTCCCCTGCTCTTGGAGTGTGTTGCGTCTCCGGCTGGCGTGGCAGTGTCGCGGTGGGGGCCTCGGGCTTGTTGCTTTCGGTTCTCAGCATAGTGGGCGAAGCACTACGCCCGACTCCGCTCACCGTGAGAACGTCTACGGCGGACCTTTTCCGTGGAGAGAACTAGGGGGGTGGCCCCGTTCTACTCTCGGCCCGTTTGCGGGGTTTTACTCTTTGCGCCGTTTTGGGTTGTCCATCCAAATCGAGCAGCTTAATGGTGTCGCGTTGCTGCCTACTTTTCTTCTCAGCTGCTTCGCGTATGCTATCTGTGAGCCATTTACTCTCTCAAGCCTACGGCAATTCGCGTTCTATCGCTTAGCTTCCGCTCCCTATCTGCTTCTGGCTTCCTCGAGAGGTGTGGGCATGCGTCATCTCAGGGCTTTGATCTAACTGAACAAGAACAACCCCACGCGAGTGCTGTGCGGCTTTCACGTGCTTGAGCGATGCAGTCTGTGAGTGAGCCGCTCGCTGCTTATGGCTTACTCGAGCGGCCTTATCCTTTGCGCCCATTCTTTTCCTATCCAAAAAGCGCAGCGCGATGAAGTTGCCGCGTACTTGTGAGCTGCTTAAGAGGTCCCACCCTTTGGCTCAGTTCAGGACCCTCATCCAAACGGCGCAACGCTGTGAAGCTGCTGGCCCTTTTGACTTGCTGGAAAGGTCTCACTCACCCTCTGACCCAGCGCAGGCACCCTATCCAAAAGGCGCAGCGTTATAAAGTTGCCGCCTGCTTTTGAGTGGCCTGCTTGAATTGAAAGGCCCCGGCTTTTGACTCTGCTCAAACCTCTCACCCAAAAAGCGCAGCCGTATGGTATTGCTCTCTACATTTGACCTGCTTGAAAGGTCCCAGCCTTTCAGCCAGCTCAGAGATCTTCCACAAAGGGCGCAGCTCTATGAAATTGCTGCCCACTTTTGACCTGCTTGAACGGTCTCACTCTTTGGCCCAGATCTGGCCAGCTTGCTTATTCAAAGCGCGCAGCTTTATGGAATTCCTGCCCACTTTTGACCTGCTTGAAAGGTCCCGCCTTTATTTGACCAAGCTCAGGCATCCTATCCAATTCCAAAGAGCGCAACTCTATGGGGCTGCTGTCTGCTTTTGGCTTGGCTTGCTTGAAAGGCCCCGCCTTTTGACTTTGCATACTAAAGCTCCCTGCCCAAAGAGCGCAACTTAATTCATGAAGCTGCTGCCTACTTTTGGCTTGCTCGTAACTAAGGTCCCACGCTTTCACTCAGTCGAGCCAGGCTTCTTACTCAAAGAGTGCGATGTTAGGAAGTTGCTGCTTGCTTTTGACCTGCTTGAAAGGTGAGGCCCCACCTTTTGACCCAGCTCAGGCCAGGCGTCCTACCTGAAGCGCGCAGCTTTATGCGATTGCTGTCGTCTACTTTTGACCTGCTTGAAGGGTCCGGCCTTTTCGCTCTGCTCTGGCCTCTTATGCAAAGCGCGCGGCTTTATGCGTTTCCTGTCTATTTTTGACCTGCTTGAAAGGTCCCACCTTTTGACCCAGCAGCTCAGACCCCTTATCCAAAGGCGCAACTCTATGAAGCTGCTGGCTACTTTCGAGCTGCTTGAAAGGTGTCGCCCTTTGACTTAGCTCAGGCTTGTTATCCAAAAAGCGCAACACTATGTATGCCGCTGCTGTCAGTCTGCTTCTGAGCTGCTTGAAAGGTCTCACCCTTTGACGCCGCTCAGACTCCTTATCCAAAAAGCGCAACTTTATGAGCTTGCTGTCTACTTTTGACCTGCTTGAAAGGTCTCACCCTTTGAGCCAGCTCAGACTTCTCATCCAAAGAGCGCAACTTTATGAAGTTGCTGCCTACTTTTGATCTGCTTGAAAGGTCCCACCCTTTGAGCCCGCTCAGACTCCTCATCCTAAAAGCGCAGCTTTATGGGATGGCTGTCCACTTTTGAGGTGCTTTAAGCTGAAAGGTGCTAGCCTTTGAGTTTGAGCCAGCTCAAACTTCTTCCCCAAAAGGCGCAGCTTTTTGCAGTTGCTGTCTACTTTTGACCTGCTTGTCTTGAGCGGCCCCATCCTTTGAGTCAGCTCCAAATCCCGTAAGTATCCAAAGCGCGCAGCTTTATGAAGTCGCTGCCTACTTTTGACCTGCTTGAAAGGTCTGACCCTTTGAGCCAGCTCAGGCGCCTTATCCAAAAAGCAAGCAGATGCCAACTTGCTCAGCGTATAGCTGCTGGATGCTTGCCTCTGTTTGCATTTCTTTGCCTGCATGTGTGCCCTTATCGTAGCACATACGCAGACGCAGCGGATTCCTTTCATCAGATGACTAGCCTCAGGCTGGGGCGCTTCGCTCTTCGTTTTTTGTCCATGCAGCGCAGTCCTTGGCTTGTGTTGTTGGTTCAGGGTTTTGAGGTACTGCCGAAAGCCTTAGCAGGAGCAGAATCGCGGGAAAGTTGTACTCAAAAACGCGGCATTTTTACGGCGCGAGATGTATACATCTAGCCCGTACATCTTTCCCATGATTTCCGTACATCTCAAAAAAGTGGAATTTTGGAAACCTACTATGAATCGCCCCGGTGTAAGTACATCTCAAGAGTACATCTTTCCCGTGATTTACGTATAAGATATATATCTCGAGATATATATCTCAGACGTATACATCTCACCCGTACATCTTTGCCATGATTTGCGTACATCTCAAGCCGTAAGCTCACTCCTGTTTAGCATT